TGCATTGTGAGTGTTTTTCTTATAAAATATTTCATTTACATGAAGGTATATTGGTCTTGTTTCTATTTTAAATGAATTAATATATGTTTCAAATGTACAGTTTTATTTTCTAGTATGACAAATATTAAAACACACCTACATTGTAAAAGTTCTCAAGGCATCTCCAAAATTTAAGAATATTAGGGCTGCTGATTCTAAGAAGTTTTGATATATATGATTTATTTCCTCACTTTAACAAAGAAATTGTTTTTCTGAAACACAGAACACATAAAGCTGAAATATAAAGTTAAATGTTCATATTGTCTTGTGATTCAGAGCAAAAAATTGGCATTGCTTTCACCAAAATGATGTTGTATTTTATTTTTGTTATATAGGAATTAATAATAAATTGGTGCAAAACTTTGAGCCATTTATAGCCTATCTTTATTGCATTTTTAACACGCTAAAGCATCTACTACCTGTGTTTCTTCAGCTCTGATTTTGTCATTCTAACTGCATGCATAAAACTCTGAATTTATCTTAAGACAGATCTACTTATCCTAAAAGATAAGTGCTATATTATAGGCTAAATATCATTTCATTTCTATACGTTGAGGTATGTCTTCTATGACACCATCTTACTTTGCTTTCATTTTTCTTTTTGGTTTTGTTGGGAAGTGAATTAACAATCTAATTGCTACTCTAAAAGTATTATTTTCGATATGGTCTTTGTGTTCTTTGTTTTTTTTTTTTTTTTCTTTGCAGATTCACAAAGCACCTAGGTAATAGGTTTTCCAGACAATGATACCCATTCACTGTCTGCTTAAATATATCTTCGATATTATACTTCCCACTCAGGACTCAAAAGGAATATTTTTCCCAATACTGAAGATTATTCTCATGGTCCTTACTTCAAGCTACATACACAGCCATGTGAACCTTTTTAAGAATTACTTTGGACATAATCTTTCTAAGTGGATAAAGTAGCCTAGAGTGGCCTCCAACTTGTGATCCTTCTGCCTCAGCCTTCTTAACTTGCTTTCCTAGTCATTGGAAGACATGTTTTTCTTTCATGTTTCTTAATTTCTTAATGCCATCTACAGGATAGATATGTGTGTGTACATTAAATATATATATGGGCTGGCCAAATAGCTCAATGGATTAAAGAGCCTACAAGCAGACACAGGGGCTGGAGGATCGA